ATGCAAGAAATCCACCTCAAACTCTTATCTGAGAAAGAAATCCATAACAACCTCAAATTCAAAAGCCCTAAATGCAAAAGACAAAAGTTCTTCAAGAAGGACCATCCTCATGCACCACAAAACAATTTGAATACACCTCAAAACCCTTCCATAGAACAAATATCTTCTGAAAAAGAAGCTCAAATCATCACTTCTTCACCAAATAAGTTGTGCAAACTTATCCCAGAACTTTTAATATTTAGTTCTTCAAAAATACTGCCGCCATATTCACCTAAAAGAACTTCATGTACTTAAAAAAAGCAGAAGAAAAAGATGAAACCCACAGACAAACTCCACATTGAAAGCCCTAATTGCAAACAACAAATCTTCTCTAAGAAAGACCCTCGTGCACCATGCAATAAGGTCCAACACTCCTCAAAACCCTTTTAAAACAAAAATCTTCCTAAAAGTTGAATCCCAATTCATCCCTTCTTTACCGAATAAGCTTTTTGAACAATGGTCGACCTGTCAATTATCATCACGTTCACTTAAAAAAAACTTAATAATAATCTCATATGAGAAAGAGAACTTGAAAACGACTTAATCAGTGCCACTTCACAACGAAACTCCACAAAATGATTGTTCATTCAGAAAGCAGAAAATGATCCCTCATTTTAACAAAAACCCAAACAATAGCCGCAAATAAATCTTCCAACTTTTCCAAATGTCATCATTATTTTCACTTTGAAAAATATAACTCTTCCAAATTAAACTAAACATGTCCACAACCTAAGAAATCACAAAAGGGAAAGACAAAAATTTTATTGAAAAACCCTAAAAAATGGTAGAAATAAATAAAACCCATAAAATGCAACACCCCGAAACGAAGCAAAAGGAAAAAAAATCCAAACAGAAGAAGAAAATGAACGATCAGTCATACAATTATCGATATCGCTGTCATCGCTGGCGTCATTGTGATCAACGCCAGCAGCGTCTTCAAAGAACTGAAGGACTCCCGGGTTCTTCCGTTTCCGACGGCTCTCCTCGGCTCCGCTGCTCTTCCGCTTCCCGGAGAACACCTCCTTCGCCTTCCCTTTCCCCTTCGACGACATGCCGTTTCAGTCGCAATGGCATAAATTTTTCCTCATAAACGAAAATCAGAGAGAATTTCGCTCCTTTTGAGATTTTTTTGTTTTCGAAATGATTTTTGCGGGTGAAGAAACGAAAGAGACTGACTGATGGCATCATCGGTAATTGGTGGTAGTGTCCTCCGTTTTGAGTACAAAGCTGAAACAAATATGATTTTACGATTATGTCCTTGATGACTGTCCCCACAGTCCATAAAGGACATTCCATTTCTTTTTCTTTCCATTCAATACCATAAATAACCAAAAAAAAGAAAAATCAATTCCATTAGATTTTCTTAATTCAAAAACGAAATTAAAATTTATCCTCTAATATAATCTATTTTTTGTTGGAAAGAGAGAATTCAAATTGAAATCTTAATTCTTTAAATGGAAAATACCCACACTTACTAGAAAATAAGAAAAAAAAATAAAAAAAGAAATATAATTATCTATAAAGGTTTAATTGTGGTGATAAAAGACTTGTCAATTTAGATTAAAATGTTACAATTTAAATAAAAAGATTAAATTAAAAAAAATATCCTAATACAAAAACATCCCAAGTATTTTGACCATTAATAAATCTTCAAGGTGAATTTTAGAAACAAACTTTCATATTTGAATATTATATCTTATTAATTTATAAAAGTCATTAGATTAGTACAATAACACTTGCTTTATAAAGGAATTGAAATTCATTTCAAAAAGTTTCATTTTATGTTGTTATCATTATGATAATAATAATAATAATAACAACATAAGCAAAATCATACTTATGTGCTTGTGCTTCAGTGCTTTGGCTGCAAACTAAAGCCAACCTTTCTTTATTCCAAGGGAAGGAATTATTTTTGGTTCAAGGAAGAAACCAAGCAGTTCAGTAGCTTCCTAAAACACACACAATGGCTGCTTTGGTACCATTTTTTATGGCTGCTATCTTTGAAGGCTTTTAAAATTCTATCTTGTGAAAATCAGTTTTTCTTTCTTAAGCCTCAATGGTTCATGATATAACAAAGATAGTTCACTTCAAGTTTTTGTATCTGTGTTCATTGTAGGTGGAATGGCATATTGAAGCAGTAAAGTGAACTGATGAAATGAGTTTGAGTCCACCCTGTCAAAAATATTTTACAAACTTTATAATAGGTGTTACACAAAGGAGAAATTTTGTATTTTATAAAGAGATTAATGAAATATATATATATATATAAGAAATTCTTCATGATTTAAGAGAATTAACAATATGGTAACCATATTGTAATATAATCACATTGATTTAACTTGTAACTATAATCATGTTGACATTACTCTCAAACTCAATGTGGTATGGTACATGCCAACTTAAGTTTAAAAATTAAGTTTTGAAATCGATTAGTGACTAAATGATAGCTCCCAATGACAATTTGCCAAAGTTTCGTCCAATCGAAAAACTTTTCACACCTTGAATTAGTTGTTTTTTTTTTGTCCAAATAACTATAATTAACTTGAAAACTTCATATTTCTTCATCTTATGTTGGAATTAGTAAAAAGGAAGAGTGTAATCAAAATCATGAAGTCAAAATTAGTAGAAACAATGACCTTATGGAAGTGCAAATGTGATAGGACATGTGACAGATTATGTGACAACATACATAATAAAACATGTAATGAATATATGACAAAACATGTGATAGAATATATGATAGAACACATTATAAGTAATTGACTTGAAAATGATGTGACAAAACGCATAGCAATTGACATGTCAACATAGCTATCATAACAAAAGACATCAAAACATAAGCAACCAACACATGAGACAAGAGCTATTGGCTTGAGATGCATGGAACAGGGATTGTCAATGCCTAAATGGTTCCAATACCATGTTACGAAAAGAAGTGATTAATACAAAACATATTGATCATATAAGTACTCGAGTATTTAATTCATTGATTGGTACATAATTTTTTACTAAAAAAATAAAATTTGAATTTCCTTCCTCAAATAAAAAAAATATTGACCATACGGTGAACAATCTTTGCATTGCCTCGTAAGGAAAAGGCATTGTCTTGCTTATACTTAAATGTTTGGCTATCAATTAAGGATGCGAGATTTTTCTCCGTTAATGCTAGCCTCTAAATCAAGGGTAGATTTGGTTTCTGTGAAAGCCGGTGTGGTTTCCCATAGACACGGTCACCTGTCGAGGCAAAGATTGTTGGAATGCACCCGATTACGAGAGAGATGTTGCCACTTTGAGACTTACCTTTGCGCTATTCCCAGCTACTATTTGCCCCCCTTTTTTTGTTAGCAATTTGACAAGGAATAACAATTCTCACATTTTACCTATTTTTTAAAATTGATCAAAAAGTCTTCTGTAGCTACACCCACCCCTAACCTTGGTATTAGTTATTTTATATCTAATGGAATACCTTCAAAAATTGTTAAGATTAAATTAGCTCTCATAACTTTAGAAATTTACAACCTCTCAAATATTAATGATTAAATTATAAATAAAATATTTATATTTAAATGATTAATTATTAATATTTTAAATAAATTGTAAATTATTAATATTTACATATAAAATAAAATAAAAATAAATAATAATAATATTTAATATATTAATATGTTATAATGTTAATGATTAAATCGTAAAAAAAATATTAATATTTAAATTATCAATTATAAATTATTAATTTTTGCAAAATATAATAAATAAAAAATAAACAATCATAATAACATAAATTATAAATAAAATATTAATATTTAAGTAATCAGGTATTAATATTTTAAATAAATTATAAATTATTAATATTTAGAAAATAAAATTTAAAAAATAAATAATCATAGTAATATTTAAATTATAAATAAAATATTATTATTTAAATGATCAGTTATTAATATTGTAAATAAATTATACATTATTAATATTTAAAAAATAAAAAAATCATGAATATAATAAAAATATTTTTTTATTTTTTATTTTTTATTCTAAAATTATTTTTACCAACCAAATATTACAATAAATTATAATAACTATTCTTATCTTATTCCATTCCATCGTACCACACTACATAATAATTATTCTATTATATTCTCATTTAATTTTATTTATACAAAATAACTATTCTATTTTATTAATGTCTATTCCGTAAATCATCCTTACAATAAGTTGAAATCCAATCTTTGACTCTAAAAAAATGTAAGATCTTTCCCCCTTAAGACTCTCAAACCTCGAGCAGCCTTTCCACTACATTCTGAAAAATTTTTAAAAAAAATGAAAAAACTACCCATACGAAAGGAAGCTTTCCAAATTTGTACAAAGACATAGTTCATGGTAAGTACATGTTCTAGACTCAAAACACAATCTAATTTGCACAAGGTTAGACTATAACTTTTATAATTCATAGACTAGTAGTAAATGTGTAGCTCAATTAAGCTAGTCTTTATGGAATATATTATTTTAATTCGATATGAACCATGCAATGGCACCAAGCATACAGGTCAATCCCATTAATGGATTTGTTTATGTTGAGATAAAAAATTCCAATTGGATTCTAATGGTGCAGCTCATATTCATTTCTGTCAAGAAATTATCAGAAAGAGGGGAGGGGGACTGGAGAGGTCAATACGAGTACTCAACAACAGCAGCCTTTCATTTTTAATGAATTAATTTTACCAATCTCAAGCCTATTTTATAAATTACAACTTTCTTCTTGCTATAATAGTAATAAAAATTCCTATGATGAGGTATGGCATTCGGGATGACCTAACAAAACAATCTGCAGAAGAAATTTGTCTACCTGCAGAAGAGGAAGCTGCGACTAGGCGTTGTAGGTGTAGCAGGTATTCTTGTAATTTTTGAAAATATCCATCCAAGTGCTTAACCAACTATATATACATGAGATAAAGATGTTTACTGGCATAAAGCTCCTAGCTAGACCTAGAGATGCATCTGGTGAAATGATATCCAGTAGTTAAATTTACGGACTTATACTTAAAGCTCCTTTAATACTAAGTACTAACTACTAAGAGAAGTGAAATGAATGAAAATAAACAAACTCACAAGGTAGCCAAATCTCCCTATGTTGCTCTGACTCTTTTAATTTGCTTCAAGTACCTGTACTAGACACTTATCTGAACCTCAAAGTGGCCATGGGAAGGGGGCCTTGAGACCCTCCAAATATAAGGGAAAAACCACAGAAATATTGAATGCACCCGTGTCAGACACATATCCTTATCCGACACTTCCTCCAAAGTCTAAGCAACATCGAAATCCCTTATAGTGATTGGATCAGCAAGACCAGCAGATGAGAGCACGAAAGAAAACAAAACATAACAAAGCAGGTACTCATAATCTTAATCTGGTCATGGATCAGTGGGGAGGAAGGAAAGAGCATATGATTATTCAAAATACTTGGAAAAAGAACATAAAAGGAGCACTCCCTTGGTCCAGTTTAGTCCTCCATACTTAAAAAATACTCAACAATACAATTGATTGCTTGATCTCTCTCTCTCTCTCTCTCTCTCTCTCACTAGTTGGGTTTGATTTGATTTCAGTCTCAGCAGCAATAAAACCTGTAACAAATTTTCTGGTTAATGTTCTGTACAATAATTAGGAAATTCGGCAGTAGCAGCGGTACAGCATCAGTCAAGCTAGACCTAAGTAGGACCATTGGCCTCTGAATACCAGCTTTGTAATATCTTTCAAGTTAAACTTATTAATAATCATCGGCCTTGCAACCTGCAGTCAGTTACTGGCAGAGTCTGAGTAGCACTCATGAAGCATTAGTAAAGTTCTTTTTACGTAATCTACTTCCTAATTGCCAACAAAAATCTATTTAGATAGGATAGCTTGTTTTCCTCATTCTTATTGAAGCTTTTTCTTCCTTATTTACTTTCCATTAGGACGGAATTTTTTTTTTAATCTTGCCATTGAAATGGTGCTAGCGATGAATGGCAACACCCCAGCATTACAGTCACAACGATAAACCTACAAATTCTTTCCATTTTCAATATTACCATGTCATAGCTATGTTATTATAATACACACAAATATGTAAACTTACATTATTCAAATCTTTCCTTGCATATTCCCCTGAAAGATCAACATGCTCTGTCGCCAGGAATAAGTTAACAGCAACAACCAGCAGTATTTTAAGCGGGGCCAATGATGTAATGAACTGATCAAGTAAGTTCCATTAGAGAACTTTTACAAGAAACTCACTCCTACAAAGGAAATGCATTTTCAAGTTAAGACTTCAATTTAGTACAGTAAAATAACAAAGGGATTGGACACCATCTTCCACAGAATAAGTACATGTTCAAAGGTTGGAATCTATGTTTTCTATAAAACAAAATGACAAAACAGTTTGAGTATGCTCACTACTAACTAAAGGTAATTTGATGAGGAAGAGTACCATTCCTGAAAGAGACACATATTTGCCAACTTAAACTAGTTCACAAACTTAAAAACTAACAGAGAAGGTCAAAAGGAAATTATTGTGACATTAACAGGAAAGTCAATGGTGGCAATGTTGTTGGACTTAACAAAGAATCAGATGTGAATAAGTACAAATACAAAAAGGAGAGAAGATCAAATTGAAGCAGTCAATAGCATTGCAACATCTACCTGAAAAGTGAACAGATGCTGTGGGATTTCCATCAACGTCATGTACTTCCAAAATATACCAGGAGCTTGTGATCTTATCCTCAAAGAGCCATAACTCAGAGAAATTTGTTAGTGATAATGTGTTTTATCTCCTTGTTCTCTCTCTCTCTCTCTCCAACTTCTTTATTTCTTTTGTTCTGCATTGTTACTTCAATTAACATGAATATAGATCTTCGTTCTTCAGGAAGATGGATTGAATAAATGACATAAAACTACACTAAGTTCTATGAAGCTTCAATCTTATAAAGGATTCAAGCACTGGTGCTAATGCCAACCACTAAAAAGAAAATTTGTTGTCAGCAGATCTTTTGCTTTCACTAACGGTTCAAGTTTGAATGAAAATAATCTTCTGCTGTAACATAAGTGGATCTTTTATTAATGTGGAAGGCAGCCCCTGCCCCATGGTAGCAATTAACACGCGTCCAGCCTGCTAGCATATTTAAGCGTATTAGCAAACAGAGGTGAGCTCTGTATCAAGACAAGGATAAAGCAGCAAACAATGAGGTTATGAACCACTTATTTGCAAATTTTAGCATGTTCAATCATGACACAAGCACTATACACATAAATGCCAATGTTTGTGCATTGTAAGGACACAGCCCATGATGATTAATGTGCAAAGAATAAAAATCTCAGCTTTGTAGCACTCACTATGGCAAATTAAAGTGCAAAGAATAAGAATCTCTACTTTGAAGCATTCATAATGGGTAGTTAGTGTGCTAAGAATTTGAAGTACTCACTGTGGTGGCAACTTAATGTGCAAAGAATAAGAATCTCAGCTTTGAAGCATTGGTAGTGGGAACTTTATGTGCAAAGAATAACAAGCAGGCAAATACGTTGGAGAAATGAGAGCATTAATTGTGATTCTAATAGTAATACTGCTATTAGAATAATAGTAAAATGACATGAATGTAAGGTATGAACCTCATCAAATAAATTTTAACCTGCTAGCATGTAAAACAAATGCCAGATAATACAAATATCCTTCAACAGCGAGGCACAGTAATACGATGCAATAATATAACCTACCTGGAGGAAAGAAATCAGTGAGAAAAAGTATGCATAATAAAGAAAGTGCAAATCAAAGATACTTTAAAACAAAAAAAAAAAAGAAAAAGAAGTATTAGTCAGTATCATTCACAGATAAACACGTCACCTCTATTTAATTGCTCTTTTATCTCTGGTAGTGTTGCAACACCTAGGCGGCGACCACCTGCATATGCAACATATACATCACTTAGAAGTGTAAGACGCAAAAGCTATGTCAACTAATCAAACAATTCTCTGGTGCTCTAAAACCCTTAAATATAAAACACTAGTTGTCCACAATTGTGCAAAAGCTATTTTTTTATTTGTAATTAATCTGTTGAGAAAAATTCAAATCATCCTCCTGGATACCTATTTAAACCAAAGCTCTCCTAAAAACTTTTTAACAATTAATTTACAAACTTCAAATATCAGTTGTTGACACTAAGTTACTCAAAGCAGTACACATTTCTTGAGTTCTTCTAGCAAAGGATATCTCAGCAAAAATTTAAACTTAAAACTCTGGAATGCAAAAAGGCTGTGGAGAAGTGCTACTCTTTTTCTGGTTTCATACCATGCTATGCATCTCCCCAATCAGATAGTTACTCTTTTCTTCCCTACAATTATTACATTTAATCATAGAGCAAGAACTTGAATAGATATTTTCTCTTTCCTATTGGCAAGATTCTATATCCTGCTTTTTGCACAAATCTCTAATGTCAGTGAGACAGAATTTATTCTTCTGAACCCTAAGGTGCCCAGTTCAACCTATGGACGGGTTTAACTTTTCTTGTTTCGTGTCTCAGACTATCTTCCTATACATTTTTATTACAATAGTGTCCTCTTTCCTAGCAATGATAATTTCTTTCACATAATATTTTTCTGAAAATTTATAATATTACTTTTCCTGAGATATGGCTTTGCAGCTTGACTTTGAAAAATACCATACCATTCATCGTTTCAATCAAATAGGGATCCTTTTTGTTCCTATGACAATGCATTCATTTAATAACATACCTATTACCAATGCAACTATGATTTGAATGGATATTAAATAAATATTAGAAAACTTCTAAAGCTTCTATAATACTAATGATAATTTCTTATGTGACGTTGCCTACCAATGTAGAGGCTCACAATCAATTAAATAATCTTAAAACCACTTATTTTGATGTTTAAATTTACAAAAATCGTATCAAGTGAGAGGGCAATACAGTGCAGAACACACTTCGATCAATACATCAAACATGATAATTAAAGTTACACCACATAATTTTACATTATAATATCAACAAATGCATCGATATCTCCAATCCTACTTTTGTTTTCCAACAAAACGGGGCACCTAGAGAATATTACACCTATGCCTCTTTACCTTCTCAACTTTTGTGGTGAAAATAACTTTAACTGCATCAAACACCTCTTCAATGGATTTCGCAGCATCAATCTGAAGGTTAAAGCAATAACTTTTGAGTTGAGGTCAACATATAAATCATTCAGAAAAAAACAGTACAGTGCAGTGAAGAAGAATTTCACCTCTAGAACCTTCCCCTTGGCCTTATAGTACTCAATTACAGGAAGACTGGACTCTAAAAACACCTTAAATCGCTTCCTTATTGTCTCAATGTTATCATCTTCTCTTCCCTTCATTACCAAGAAAAAGAAAAATAGATTAAAGAACAAAAAATTATGAAAGAGAGAAGAAACAAGGAAATCGTCTAATTCAAACCAATAGAAATCTGTCACAGAGAGCATCAACTAACCTGGTTTCTATTCAGAATACGCCTCTCCAGTTCTTCTTCAGGGCAATTAAAAAACAGGACAAACTCCGGCTCAATCTTAGTCTGCAGAACCACCAAGTTTTCAGCATGTAATTGAAGTCATTTTAAACTCTTTGGTTTAGATAGCATACCTAACTGAATGATGCTGAGATTAGGTACAAGACATGAACATGGATATATAAACTGAAAAATTATATGAATAAAGAATAACAGACTCACAACAGCTTCAAATGCTGCGCGGTTTTCTTCGTTACGAGGAAAACCATCAATTAGGAACTTGTTATTACCACTTTCCAACATTGCTTTTTGAAGAAGCTTAATTGTTAACTCAGAAGGAACAATCTTCCCTTCTTTCATCATGTTTTGAATCATGGTTCTGCAAACCAAAAGAGAATAATGCATTACATTTGCACAAAGCCAACAATAAAGAATACTCTACATGGAAGATGGTTTCAAGGAAAACAACTGATTCATACATTAACATGCATCCCTTCACTTCTGTCCTTAATCTCACAATGCAATAAACATGTAAAACATGGAGTTCAGTGTCAGGAACCAAAAGAGGTGTGTCCTTAGAATTTAATCAGAATAGATGATGCAAATGAGCCTATACAAAAACTGCAAGGATAAAATTTATTTTCCTCTAAAAAACTTGTCAATTAAAAATCTTCCATGTAAACAGTCTTATTTTGGAAAATCTGAACGGATCCCAAAAAAGACAAGCTACACATGATGTGCAGGAATTATTGCAACAAAAGGAGAATAGTCAATCATTAGAAACAAGGTTTTTCTCAATCCTCTTAAGTCAAAAAAGTTCATAGGTTGCATATTGATGCTAAATTTCAAATTTGCCTAGAATGCAAAAAGAAATGAATGCATATCTAACTTTTACAGGGGACACATGCCATACCCATTTTCAGAACCAGAGTTACGTTCTGCTCGAAGAAGATCTCCTGCGCTCAGATGGGTGTAACCAAAGTGTTGCACAATATTTGCACACTGGGTGCCTTTCCCGCTACCCGGTCCACCTTATCAATCAACAACAAAATTAACTGGCTGAAAAAGGTAAATTTAAAACTAGTAAAAGTCACAACAAAAAGGCAAAAAGACAAAAAAAGGCTTACCTAAAACAAAAACCACTATTGGCTTTTTCTCAGCCAAGCTAACAGTTACATCCTGCATTTAGATACTTTCTTCATAAGCTAATGTCATCTAAGAAAGATGATTCCATGACAAAAGATTCTTCATTTTTATCCCCTTTTTACAACAATAAGATCAACAGATAGATTCCATCATGCCTATTACCTTGCTTGCAGCATCGGAAGTTCCCATTAGTAAAATAGTAACTTAAAGGCTACACGTGTAAACTGCATAAGTCCAATAAATAAATAAATAAACAAAACGAATGTGCAAACACAAACACATAACTACTGCAAACAAATCACTCTTAACATCTAAGAAAAGGAACAAATACATAATTTTGCATAAAAAATCTCGCAAATAAAACATAATGATCTGTTTAAGTTTCCCATTCAAAATTAATAAGAAATAAAAGTAACTTAAAGCCCGTGTGCGTGTAAAACGCATAAATCCCAAAAAAAAAAAAAAGAGAAAGAAGAAGCAAATACAAATACATAACTAGTACAAACAAATCAGTCTAGCATACAAGAAACGAAACAAATCCACCAGTTTGCATCGAAAGCTTTCCAAATAAAACGCGATGATTATGTTCGTTTTCCACACAAGTCCAGAATTCAAAACAAAGTAGAAGAGCTGCATACTTAAAACCGCACTAAAAAAAAAAAATTAAGGACATAGCTAAATTTGCAAAAAATCATAAATTCCAGATTATATTCAAACGTTATTAAACAGCCAAACAATTTAATTAGTTCGAATCAAAATTACCTAAACCCTAGAGTGATCGACTCTTTTACACATCTTTGAAATCAGATGATAGCTTAAGGCCAAAGTTTGGCTGCCACTAAAATCACGGCGAAGAAACGAGAGAGAGAGAGAGAGAGAGAGAGAGAGGAAAGCTTACCTTAAGGAGAAAAGAGAGTATGGAGGGAAAGGAGACTTGATCATTAAGTGCGAGCAGCGCAGGCTTTTAAATAGACGAGTTTTTAAATTTGGTCGGAGTGGAAGGGTATATTTGGAAAATCATGAGGATAAATTTTGTGAGTAAATTATGTGTAATTCTTAAAATTTGTCCTTACGAAAATTTATAAATCAGGAACTCACGATTTCAATTCAAATCATCTAATAGGTGGTAGATGATTCTTATGAAATTTGTGACATTATTTCGACTTTTATACCTTGGAAAATAATTTCATATATATTTTTAATTTTAATTTTTGTAATACAATACGAAGCTTTTTAAAATTGAAATTAAATAAAAAATTTTAAACAAATAAGTAAGATGTGGCCAATTAACATTTATAAGATGTCATGGATTATCTTTTTCCCCACTTAAGATCAAGATTTCTTTAATTTCTTGTTCCAACTGTAAACTCTATGAATGCATTATCCCATAACCAATTAACTATGGGTAGAAGTACTGGTCTGCAGTCCATATATATACTGGTCTTTTAAGCCTGAAATGTTTTTTTTTTCTTTTTTTCTGAAAGAGATTTAATAAGGTGGCTTCCCCTTAGCTCTAGCTGGTATGTTAAAAAGGGTACCTTAAAAGTTTATTATTTTTTAAGAACCAAGGCAATAAAGAAGATGTTATGCAGTCTGATGAAACAACAGAGCTAATAATTTTGCTACAGTCCTCAACCCAAATAAAGTGGGCTGCCTCATTACAAATACCATCTCTTGGAATACGTGTTACAACCAATGGATGTAGGAAATCACCTTCATTGAAAGCCAGCCTTGTAATGCTCACCATCCAAAGTTACCTCAGATTCCCCTGCTGCAGCTATTTCTAATTAATGGGGTTTGATGGCTGCAAAAGCTTTGACTGCTTCGCCGACAAGAGAAGCTGCCCCTGCCTGCAACTTTGCCATCTTGATCTTGAAACAGCCAGTCCGGCAGAAGACAGGATAGCTATCTGGCAAGGTGAAAGTTTTAGCATACCACAGGTATACATAATTGAATTGAAACATCAGTTTCAATTCAATTACCAAGGAAAATACAAAAGAACAAAAGAGCCCTCCACCTGGAGACCATCTTCTATGAATGCAAGATTGCCCCAACTTTTCCTTAGTCAACAAACGTTGAGTTTGTTTCTGCCATTAAAATAGTTAGGGTTTCAGACTTTTCTCTAATTTTGAGGGCATGAATCCACCTAATTTTCTCCTTTTTCCTGTCCTCTTAACTTGAAAATTTAAAAGAACAAAGACCTTAACATCACCAATCTATTATAACCAGCAAGAGCAAAGTAGCCCTGCAATTGACTTGCGTCAGTGCCATTGCATTATCTAATCAACCTTTGGCTCAAAGTTCAAAGCATTGCACAATCAACAAATTAAAAACCAAATAAAAGAAAAGGACAAGATGTTCAGTAATGACAGAAAAATGCAAAAAAAAAAATTACAGTGAATTGGATCTATTTTTGTCACTTTACTCCCCTTACTTTTTCACCTCTTGGATCTCTTGTGCTTGTTTCAAAGCCATTTCCTTCTCATTTGCTTCCATTTCATCCCTGAATCTCTTATAGATATCTCCACTATAGTATTTACGAGTTCTCGCAACCAAAATCAGTGTAACAAAGAATGCAAAGAAGTTAGCGGCAGCAAGAATTAAGAACGATAGCCTGTAACATTGTTTTCCTATGCAAATCAATTCCTTCACCATTGATCTTGTCAATCCCTTTGCTGCCAGCTGCTTCAATGCCTCTCTATCATAAAGTTTCCCAACAACTCTCACATTAAGTATGTATGACCCAAGAGGGCTCGCTAATTGAGAACAGTTGAAAAGAGTTGAGTAATATTTCAATCCGAAAAGCTCAGATACAATGGTGAAGAGCAATGTGAGCTGTGCTCCATATGAGAATCCTAAAACCAACGACGCAACATAAACAGAACCACTAAAAGGAAAGGCGATAAGTAAATCTCCAACGGCAGATAACAAAAGTGCAAATGCCATTATTGATGGTCGAGGTACTTTGTACTTCAACAGAATTTTTTCAGAGACAAATCCGGCGAAAACTCTACCAAAATAATTCCATATGCTAAGTAGTGAAACAAAGGTAGAAATGGTAAGTTGTGGATAGCCCAAGGATTCACCAATTTGGCCTAGATTGTCCACGGCTGTTAAGCTGCAACCCAATCCACAAAATGTAGCAACAAAAAGGAGCAACATGTCTGCACTAGTAAGGGCTTGGAGAATGGTGTAATCTTGACCTCTTTTAGGTCGCTTGCAAATATTTGTGCAGCACGAGTCTTCCTGATTCTTCTTCACTATCTCAGTCTCTGTACATTCTGGTTCTATCTCAGATTTTGATACCGTCTCAGTCGGTGGTGTTACCTCAACAATGATACTAGTGGGGGTGGTGATTTGTTTCCTATGCTTCCAAGTATAATATTCTTCTCTTATGGCAATGGCAAGGGGTAAAAACATCATCACACAGACTACAACTGCACTTAATGCATAACCAAGACGAGGAAACCTAACCTTTTTCTGAGCAATGGTTAGTCCCATGAGCAAAAAAGCTAGAATAACTGAAATTGTCAGATATTCATAAAACACTTTAGATTCATTAGGATGTCTAGAGATCTTCATTATTCTAATGTTGTAAACAAAAACCAAAGAAATAGCAGCCGGTAGCCAGCCAATCAGCAGAATCAATGACTTTGAATCATTCCCATAGATAGCGTAATAAAGCTGTGTAAACACAGCTCCACTCAGCCCTACAAAGCCCTTCATAAGCCCTAGCATTATCCCCCTACTTTCTGGGAAGTTTTTCACACAAGTAACAAGTGAACCTGTATTGGCAAAGTTTTGTGAATTTGCACCAATGCAAATATATGCACACATATGCCATACCTGTGGGGTGGGAATTTTTTTGGTCACGGCGCACCATATCATAAAATAACCGGCAAAATTCATGACTGCACCTACTAGCAAGACGAACCACGTAGGAGTTACCTCAGCTAGGAGGCCGGAGAGGACTCCAACATTGGCTCCAAGGTCCTTGAATGTGCTCATCAGGTTGAGTGTGGATTGATCATAGCCTAAAGTCGCTTTAATATCCTTGGAATAGACACCAAAAAGATACGTTGCACCAGCACCTGCCATGATTAAGAATGATGCAAACATCATGAACCATCTGCCATTGATGACTTGAAACACGAAACGGCAGCAGCCACAGCCGGAGCCGCCATTGTTGGTGGTGCTGACCACCATGGTGTGTTGCTTGTAAACCTGTTGGTATTGAACTTAAATTTCTGCCAGAAAGGTGAGTGAAAATTTTTGAGAATTATTAACGAAGGGAAAACGCTGGGTTAGGGTTAAATATATAAAATTAATTATAAAACAGAAGATACGGATAAGAAGATATTAAGTTTTGTTGAGATAAATATGGATATTTTATCCTTAAAAATCTTCGAATTTGAGAAAAATCAGAGTCCTGGATTAGTTGGAATACAGGTTTTAACGATACAACAAAAGAATTTCAATTCTGAAAGATTTTTGAGAGAGATCGGATTTGGCTTTTTCAATATGGAAAGAGACCCAGATGGGTGGGAAAGTAGGTTTAGTTTAGTTTAATTAGTATTTTTTTTATTTGGTTTTCTTTGTTGTTTTTTTTTTCTAAATTGTAGTATACATGGATGTTGAGAAAATTTACTATGAAGTCATTCAATATAAAAGGATTTAATTTTTTACTATTATTTTATGTATAATTAGTGGAATTATTAAATTTTACTATCGAGATTAAAATATTTATTATTATAAATCTTTTTAGTTATC